AGAGCGGCCACACAGCGCCTCCTCCCAAGACCGGCACGCGATCCTTTTCCACCTACTCCCGGCGTCTCCTCGAAGTCGCCGTGGCTCCGGACCTCCCCAGCGCCCACGAAACAGTCCAGAGCCACAAATTCCCTCTACCCCCGCTCCCCCTCCCGCCAAACAGCCACCTCCAACAGCGCTACGACCCACTGGTACAACAGCTCACAAACCTAATGATGCGCGACGGCAAAAAGGCACGAGCGCAGACGTACATGGCGACCATCCTGGAAGTCCTCCGCACCTCCCCAGCGCCAGTCTATAACCCCGCGCGACCTCTCCTCCCCGGCGCGCCACCAGCGAGCCATCTACCATTGCATCCAGTCCTCTACCTCGGACTAGCAGTCGACTCAGTCGCACCACTCCTACGGATCAACCACGTCCGCGGCGTAGCAGGAGGCGGCGCCGCCCTCCCGGTACCAAGCCCTCTGACCCTCCGCCAGCGACGGTGGCGCGCATTCAAATGGATTTTAGAAGCAGCCGAGAAGCGGCAGAACCGCGGCTCGGGGAAGAAACTCATGTTCCCGCATCGCGTGGCGCAGGAAATCATCGCCGTTGTGGAGGGAAAGTCCTCAGTCTGGGAGAAGAGACAAGCGCTACACAAACTCGCGACCACTGCGCGTGCGAACCTAGGGAGGATGAGGCGGTAGATATCCACCATTAGCTAGCTCAAATAAGAATTCGCACGAGTCCCATGCAATATGCATTCAGCAATGGGAAAGGTATCGCCAATCCTACTGCGCAACACCCATTCTCCACCGATCAATCGCATCCCTCTGTCTACTTCCCATTTTCTCATCCGTAGTCGTCATCCTCATCGCCGCAGCGCCGTACGTAGGGGTATACTGACCCGACGGCGGCGGGGCGCCTGTAAGTGCCGCGTACGAAGGGGCATGCATTGCCGCCGGGGCGGTAACACCCCTTCCCTTCATTACATCGCCCATATCCCTCCCCTTCATCCCCTCCCTCTCCCGCTGCAACCTAGCCCTCCTTTCTCCCAACGTCTCCTCCCTCTCCCCCTTCAACCGCCTAACCCTCTCCGCGAGGGTCTCGCCCTCATCCCCAGCCATCACCCTCGCCCCATAAAGTCTCGTCCGCCTACTAGCAAGCGGTTCACTATCCTCCATCTCCCTCTTCTCCATCAACCCCAACGGCCTCTCCCAGTCCCTCCCATCCCCCACTTTGCGCTTATCAGCCACCAGCCCGCTTTTTCCGGGGAAGAGGACGCCAAGGGGCACATCGTCGTCTGTGTCGTTCGTCTGGGGTTGGGTTGTGCTGTCCTCCCACGCTAGGGGTGTGCGTTGCGTGCGGCGTTTGTTGCGGGTTACTTCTTCGACGGCGTCGAGTTGGAGGAGTGTCGAGTGCATCCCATCCGGAAAGGCCGTCGCGGCGGTGCGGTTGCGCGATTTTTGGTACGCTTTGCGGACTTGGAGTTCCGCCAGGAGGGTTGTTGGGGCCGCGTAGATGGGTTCGGTGTCAGAGGGGAGGTCGTCGTCCTCGGGGGGTTCCTCGGGGAGGTTGGGCTGGGTCTCGGCGCCTGAGGGGTTGGAGGGGTCTTCGATGGTTTCGACGCCTTCGGCGTTTTGGGCGTGGGCGACGAGACCATCGCCGTATTCGTGCTCGATGGGTTCGTGGGATGGGATGGGAGGGAGGATGATGCTCAGACCTTCGCTTGCAGCCACCCGTGGCGAGGTGTCGATGTTGTCGAGTTCGTTGGCGATTGAGCCTTGGGACTTTCGTTTTTGGAGTTTCTTTCCACTGGATTTGGGTGTTTCAACTGAGGACTCGGCCCGTCCGAGCCAGGTGCCGAATATGCTGCCGCGGGACTTTTTTCGTTGTCCTTCTTGGGTTGCTTCGTCGTTTGGGGTTGCTGGCGGAGCGGCGGAGTTGGGTCCGTTGTATGCTGTTACTGGTGAGATGGCGGCTGCGTTCAACATGTTGTCCAGCGTAGCTACGGCAGAGTCGGACTTGGCCTCGAGGTTGTGAGGGATGCTCTCATGATCGAAGAAGATGCTGGCTCTTAGTTGAGGCGGTAATGTGCTCAGCCTCTTTTGACTCTTACCCGGCTGATCAGAGGCTGCTCGACTGGGTTGTGCCAGCCACGGAGCGGATCGCAGAACCTCTGGCGGTAACTGCTCCAGCATCCGTCTTCGCTGCTCCGCATGGACATTTGATGGTGGGGCCTTGGACAGTCGTTTAGGCAGAGTCAGTGTCTTTGGCACCGGGGCGGGATAGAAGACTGTGTCCTCGTCTGGCGGAGGCAACACCACCGGTTTTAGCTGGCTGGGAGATGAATGTAGCATAGATGCAGCGTGTGATGAGAAGCCGTCAGACCAGGTGCGAGCGGGTATACGACGAATCTCGTTGCCATGCTCATCCACTTCCACGATTTCGTCGGTTGTGGGTGAAAAGTGTACGCCGTCAAAGTCTTTGAATGCCAGTGCCGCCTCTCGCCATGTGCTCGATGTGCCTGGACGCTCAACCTCGCTGCTTGGTTGGTCACCCAGGATGGAGCCTCCCCTGGATTCATCTCCACCTGGAGCTTCTCTATGTGACAGTGCATCTTCATCAGAGTGTGCATCCGCTCGCTCAATGGCATCTGCAATCTCGTTGTATCGTCTTGCCAGCGAATCACCGCTGTGCTGTCTGGATACCGATGGGACAATCAGTTGGTTTAATGACGTCTTGCTTGGCTGTTCTGACGGCTCATAATTATGCTCAGCAGAACTCTGTGGACTGGACAGGCCGTGAACGAGGCGGTCTTGGCTTGGCTGGCTGGACATCTGATGACCTGGTTGGCCATGTAGCACTTCCCTACTCGACTGACCCGATAGCGCTCTCTCAAGCTGAACGTAGCTCGGCGGGCTTGACAGATGTTGATCCTGACTGGACAGATGCTCTTGACTCAGATGACTGGACCGCTCCGGCTCTTCCCAGCTGAATAGGCTGTCTGGTCCGGAAGGCGTCCTCTGCTGGCTCCGAGTCACCAAACTGGCATTGTGCAGCCTCGGCGAGGAGAGACTCGACTTGACCGATCTCACACTGTGCGCCCTCTCGGGAGCTTCCTCGCCGTCATCCGCTATGAAAGTACCACCTTCCTCTTTCTTCCCATCATCCCTCGGCATCTCCTCCGTGGACGTCTCCTCACTGGGCATCTTCTCTCTTGGCGTCTCCTTGGAAACTCCCTCCTCCTCCTCCTCCTCCTCCTCCTCCTCCTCCTCCTCGTCATCATCATCACCATCATCAGCACCATGATAAATCGACCCGCTACAACTGCCCTGCTCATGTATATCCTCCTCATGTACATCCTCGACGCGCGGCTGATGGAGCAGATGAACTCTACTCCCATCCTCTTCCACGTCTGGCCGCCCTTCCATGCGCAACTGATGGTTTCTGCTGCCATCCTCCCCCTCAAACCCCTCCTCCGCCTGCTCATACACTGAGGGAGCGTCACTCTCAAAACTATGCCGTTGGGATGCATCTCCCTGACGACTCCTCCGTCCGAATATCCCCTCATCATTAGGTAGCGCGCCCCCTTTCTCCCCAAATCGTTCTCCTGGAGTCCCAATTGTCAAATCATCCAACCCCAAAGCAAGACTCTGCTCAAGCGCATGGCCGCGGAGCCCTAGCGCCATTGTCGTTCGTCCGGCCTTCCTTGTCGCGTTTCGCCCTGTGTCCTCCCCGTCGTTGTCAATTCCAATTCCAATGAACGAAGAATGGGGTATGTTTTAAGCGAAAACAACGCGAGCCGGAGTTGTTATGATGGGTTGTTCATCAAAACGTTGATAAGCGTTGACAACGTTATCACATGTTAGATTTGGTGCATGACGCCAGGGGGGGATAATAGATAGGATTCTATGTACTGTGTCCGCTGCGTTGACTTGCAGCGTGTAGGTAGAGGTTGAGATATAAGTTGGAATGGGGTGTGCAGGGGGTCATGTGGACAATGGATAGTGGACTGGATAGCGGACTGCCAACACCACCAGGGCAGCTGGGTACAGGAGGTACTTGATGAAGTGGATTGACTTCTAGTAGGCACATGTTCGACGGTATACCCTGCATTGGACAAGATGATACTGCAGTGCAGCTTGGTAGGGGTAAGGTCTGGGAAACATGATCTTCTCGTGCAGGTTTGCATGATCGGGAGATTGGGGAGCGGGAGGGCGACATGGTTTCCATGTGCATGATTTGGGATAGATGATAGTGGTATCTACTGGGAGTCTTCTTCTCAGCTTGTTTCTAGCCACTAGGTTGTTCCTCCGCTGGAGGGTAAATCCCCTCAGGAACCTGGCTTGCTTGCCTTTGTCATTTTCCTCCTTTAATGCTGTCTATCGAGATAATGACAGCTAGGCCTCCGCTGGGTGGACAACATTAAGACACATTAGGCTACCCAGAGTTGGCAATATGTCCAATGCAGCATCTCCACGGATTAAAGATCAACGAAGGTATGTATACCTGTCCCAGTTTTGAGTCTTTACATTTCCTTCTTGCTTGGGTAGTCATAGCCTACCTGTCAGGTGAGAGGGCCAGCAGTCCTGGAACGTTGCATCAGGATTGATTAGTCGTAAGTCCGTCCACTTTGCCCCATCGGCCATTTTGAGGACGACGTAGATTTAGGGTAAAATTCAGCGAACAAATCAATGGGACATGGAGATTAACATTTTTGGCAGGAAACAGGTTGCGGTTCAATTGTTCAAGGGCTGCTTTGGAACGTGAATGGGTAATCGTGAGGTTAGATAGAATTTAAGTCATAAAGCTGCATTTTGTCTTCAAGTCATACAGTATGCATAGGTGCTACAGGAGGATTGAATTTGCCATCTTCGCAAACGCCCAAAGTACCTCAGATGCCGCCGAGTTAGAACCCATCAGAAATCGCATCTACCAAAAGTACACTTCTTCTATCGCGAGCAACATCTACAAATACACGTTGCCACCTCGTTAACAAAAAGAACATCGAGCCGTGACGTCACCTGCAGGATTCGAACCTACGCACCCGAAGGTACTGCCTTACGTGGTATAAATAGCAGGGCAGCGCGTTAACCACTCCGCCAAAGTGACTTGTTGTCATGCTGTCATGACAGGCGCAAGGGAGATGAAGTTGTGCGGGGAAGAGGGTGTGGGGAAAGTGACCTCGCGGGGATTTGGATCCCCCACGACCAACATCAGACCTCACAGACATCATGAGAGCGCAGCAGACACTATGAAGCGCATGCAACATTACATGGATCAGGACAAGCGCTCAATGATATAGCAGTCAAGACCGCGCGGGCGGCTGACATCTATTCCTGGGAATGTGTAACACCCTCGGCGGTTAAGACCTACCTCACTTATGCGGTCGGCCACGCACGCGCGCGGGCGGCTATATAGGCATATTCCACCTGCCAAATGTCTATTCATAGTTCCTATACGGCCTTTCTGTTTCAGTTCAACATTTCCGAGGCTCTACGAATGGAAGTGTCTTGTGAGACCGCCACACTAAACATGATGAACCGCGCGCGCCATACTGCCAAGGTTGCGGATATATACCCCCTCCTTCCCGGACATCACTAGATAATCGAACCAAACAAATACAAACCGTGACGCGTCTATTCTTTACCAACAACATTTCCTTCGTTCTGTGGAATCACAAGCGCACGCGACGCCACACACCCACAACCCTCCAGCGGTTTTCCTTTCTTCCGATCTTTCTTTCCAGCAATGGCGAAATACCTCCTCCTCCCCCTCCTCGCCTGCACAGCAGCAGCACTCGACCTGGACACCTCATCCACTCCCTCAATCCTCTCCGCGACCGAAAAACTCGCCTACGACTTAATGTCATGGTATCACAACAACCTCACCACCACGCCCGCAGACCTCGTGGGCACCCTCCCCCTCATGTCATGGTACTGGTGGGAAGCCGGCGCCTTATGGGGTGGCATGATCGACCACTGGGCGTACACCGACGACTGGAGCTACACCCCCGACATCCAAAAAGCCCTCCTCGCGCAACAAGGGCCAGACAAAGACTTCATGCCTCCCGCCTACTATGGCTCCATGGGTAACGACGACCAAGCCTTTTGGGCGTTCGCCGCCCTCGCAGCCGTAGAATACGGCTTCCCCGTCCCCGCCGGAAGTCCCGGCACGACCTGGCTTGACCTCGCAGATAAAGTCTACACCGAGCAGCGCGGGAGGTGGGACACATCCTCCTGCGGCGGGGGGCTAAAATGGCAAGTTTTCGAAAGCAGTAAAGGGTGGGACTACAAGAACAGCGTTTCGAACGGTGCGTTTTTCCAAATCGCTGCGCGGCTGGGGCGGTTTACGAACGGAGGGGGGGATTACCTCCCCTGGGCGGAGAAGACGTGGGATTGGATGGAACGGGTTGGGCTGATTGATGATGAGTACAATGTTTTCGATGGAACGAATGATTTGAATGACTGCAGTGATGTTAATCATGTGGCTTGGTCGTATAATCCCGCGATTGTGCTGTATGGGGCCGCGATGATGTGGAATCAGACTGGGGAAGACAAGTGGGCCACTAGGACAAGAGGGTTGGTGGAGGCGTGTAAGAGGACCTTTTTCAGTCCGTTCCCGAATGCGACGGGGGTTATGTTTGAGTTTGCGTGCGAGAGGGAGGGGACGTGTGATAACGATCAACTGTCGTTTAAGGCTTACATGGCGAGGTTTATGGCCAAAGCGGCGAAGATTGCGCCCGAGTTGGTGTTGGATGAGGTGAGAGAGTTGTTGACCGCGACGGCACGGGCGGTGGCGTTGGCGTGCACCGGACCGGCGGATGGGCATATGTGTGGACAGAAATGGTATGTAGGAGGGTATGATGGACATGGAGGGATTGGGGAGGCGATGAGCGCGTTGGAATCGGTGCAGAGTTTGCTGCTACTGGACAGTCAGAGGAAGTTGCTGTCTATGAAGGACTTGGAGTTGTTGCATTAGCGTTTTTGTATTCTACTTTGATTCATTAGGCTTTGTACTTTGAACATCATTAAGCGTTCTACTTGTGTATAAACATTACCGCTTCTTGAACGTTTTAACATTACTGCCTGCACTGTACAGCGTCACGTCATTAATAAACCCCCCACCGCGATCGAAACGAGCATTAGCATCAAGGCAACGCCGACTCTTTGTGCATCGGCCGCAACGATCAGGACATTCCCACAATTGCCTCGAGCAACAGCGGGCAAGTTCGGGCCTCGGGCCGTAATAGTCAAGCAGTAACCTTGTTGTTGCTCGCCACCGTTCTGCTGACTAGTGACGACGGTAGTGACCGTCAGCGGCGTTGTATAACCCGCGGGAACGACAACAACACTCCCATACATAGGCGTTGTCGGCGAGGGCTGGATATATGTAGTCGAAGGAGCCACCCACGTCGTGCTTGGAGCCCACCCCCCAACAGCAGCAGCAGCACCACCACCTGCATTGGCCCATCCATTACACGTTTGTCCCTCGGGACAGCATCCCACTTGACTGTTCGCCCATGCACAATAATTCCCACTCGGACAGCACCTATATCAAAAAAGAAAACAAAAATCAACACCAAGCAACCTCAAAATCCACAAAAAAAGACTCACGAATCAGGCTGCTGAATATTGGTACAGCTGATGGGATGATCAGCCGGACATTGTGCCTGCACGGCGGGGGACCCCGTTCCTCCTCCTCCTCCAACCGTAACCGCACCGGAGAAATAATACGTCTGCTGGGCTTGAATCGGAGCGACAAGGACGGCAGCAAGCGCCGTGAGAACAAAGGCAATCATGATGCCTCGTGGGAGAATCGACGCGCAGCTTGTTTGCAGAGTACCTGCGCTAGTCGTCCACGCGACCAGCCACGTGCAATTTGCATTGACGTGTGGCTGGTGGTGATCTTCCAGAATCCGGGATAATCTCGGGGGGTTACGGAAATTCCCCGTCGCCCAAGAAGGAGGAAGTCGCTCGCGACGCGCGATTTTTTGACGTCCAGCGATGAGGCCTAAATGACGATAATCAGATGGAATTCTACCCAGCCCGTTTCTTCACGGCTTCGAAAAGTTATAATGAGTGGAATCGGTTGAGTATCAAGGATGTCATTACCCTGCGCACGTTAGCGGGTCTGGGCTTCCAGCAGGTGTACTATTACTTGAATCATCCGATTCAGTACGTGCGCGTTGTGGGTGTTGTGGTGGATATTGAGCAGTTTTGCGAGGGCAAGTTTACGGTTTTGACTATTGAAGATGGGAGCGGGGAATCGATCGAGGTCAGGATCACGGCGAGGCAGGGTGATGATTTTGCTGCTCCGTCGAATACGACTGTGGATAACGTGAATGCTTACGTGCATCTGGGGCTTCCTCTCGTTAAGCTGAATGGTTGTGACGTTGTCGTTGGGAGTGTGGTTAAGGTAAAGGCTACGATTAGAGTCTTTAGGAAACAGAAACAGCTTGAGTTGAAGAGATTGTTTTTCGTCAATGATACTGCCGCTGAGATGAAGGCGTGGGAGGAGACGGCTGCGTGGAAGCGGGATGTTCTTGGCAAGCCGTGGAAGCTTACAAGGGAAGAGATGCGCGAGGTTGATGACAAGTTGAGAATAGAAGATGAAAGGAGATTTGAGAAGAGGAAAAAGACGGCTAGATATGAGCAGAAATTAAAGGAGAGGGGGTTGAAAAAGGAGCAGAAGAGGGCAGCCCAGGAGAGGGAGTTTGATGCAGGTGCTTTACCAGGCAGTAGCAGGCTTCCGCTGCCGTGGTGATGTCTGCCTGCTGTATTAACCGTATGCTTCATGTTGTACTATTATCCGAATGCTTCATGTACTTTCAATCCGCATGCTTCGTGTACTACTTCCTATGTCCGGCTGTGGCCACGGCGAGAATCTCAAACTCCATGCCCGGTACGTGTACCATCTGGATGCCTGCTTCTCGGAGCTTCTTCTCGCCCTCGTTGACGCCAACAAATGTTTCCGGTTCACGGACACCGACATAAACTGTCTTAATGGCAGGTGAACCGTCTTCGCGTTTTAGAGCACTAATGCGGTCTACGCAGGGCGTATTTCCCACGCTCCGTTTGTTGCACGGCTCCATGGTAGTGTAGAGCACAGTGCCCTCTGGAAGACGAGGGCCTAAATCTTCCACTGTGCACCCGTACTGCTGCGCCAGTTTAATGAAGCACGACTGCTCTGCATGAGTGTTGCCTTCGCACTCCAACGTGTAACCCGTGACGAGAACCTCATCGCCCTCGGCCAGACAAGCACCGACACAAAAGTTTGTTGGTTTGGGCGGCGACTTCTTTGCTTCTTCTAGCGCGCGTCTCATGTGCTGCATGTTGGAATGAGCCAGGCCGAACCCCCAACGGGCCAACGCGGTTTTAATGGACGAATTTTAAAAATAATCTCTCGCCGCGCGGCTTTGTTTTTCGTCTCTCGCTCTTTTCAATTCAATGCCTGCGTTCTTCGCGCTGTTTCTCCTACTGATTGGAGGTTCGTCTCTCCTTGAAACCGTCTCTTCATTAACTGACACCTTCTGCAGCCGTCCGCGCCGTGTCCAACATTGCCGATGGCGGCGCGAACCTCCGGATCCTACCGCTGGGCGCGTCAATTGTCTGGGGGCAGGACTCTACAGACGGCAATGGCTTCCGGCTGAAGCTGCGCGAGATGCTGGAGGACCACGGCAACAAGGTCGAATACGTCGGCACCGTATCGCACGGCAACATGACCAACAACCTGTGCGAGGCCTATCCGGGCCATACCATTTCCCAGGTCGACCGTCTTGCGCTCGCCGGAGATGCGTTCGACTTCAAACCCAACGTCATCCTCCTCCATCTGGGCACAAACGACTGCATGAGGAAGGCCCACGAAAACTCCACCATAGCCGCCGACCACTACGGCACCCTCCTCGAAAATCTCCAGGAAAAAGCCCCCCAAGCCGTCGTTTTCGCCTCCAACCTAATCCACAACGACCTAAGCGTCCACGCAGGCAACTGCATCCTGCACTTCAACGACCAGGTCCCAGATATCGTCGCCAGAGCGAAAGAACAAGGCCAAAAAGTCGTCCTAGTAGATATGAACCCAGCCGTTCCACGTGCCGACCTCAACGTCAAAGA